TTTCAGGTGAATTTAGTGTTGATATAAGAGGGTAGTAACAAAAGTGATGAGTTGTCACAAACGACGGTTTAAGAAGAGTTACGTAATAACATGAATAGTTAAATGAAAGAGTTGTACTCAGGGTGTACATGGAAACAAAATATACGGAATTACACAAGGGTTTTAAGTAGAAAAGTAAGCATACAAACAAAAGTTAAGTCAAACAAACAAACAAACAAACAAAGAAAAGTTAAGTCAAATCAACACAGTTGTTTGTTTGATTTGACTTAACTTTTGTTTGTATGCTTATTTTTCTACTTAAAACCCTTGTGTAATTCCGTATATTTTGTTTCCATGTACACTCTGAGTACAACTCTTTCATTTAACTATTCATGTTATTGCGTAACTCTTCTTAAACCGTCGTTTGTGACAACTCATCACTTTTGTTACTACCCTCTTATATCAACACTAAATTCACCTGAAAACTTGATTAACATCTACGGTCAAGAGAATTTGTGGGCACGTGAGAAACAATTCTTTATAGCAAAAATGTTCATTCAGACATCTATAAAACACAAAATAATCGAGCAAAGAATATTCTACTAATTTAAAATATCCTGTGTATATAAACATATATATATATAATTGTAGAGCCTGGGAGAGGAATTTATCGAAAAGAATATTCTTTGCTCGATTATTTTGTGACTTATAAACAATTCTTTATCCGAATAAATAGTATTAACAATTAGGTATTTACCATATATCAGATCGCATACACAATGGTTGGCACACTCCTACATCACCTGTATTAATAAACTGGTTCAAAATGTTCACTATGCAATTCTACGAGTTGCTCACCACTTAAAATAATTCTCTATGAGTACACAAAAGACACAGTGAAATAAATTTGTCTATAAAATGGAAAGGTGAAATGGTGGAGAGAAAATCGTGAAGACAAACTGAAATAACCATCAAAATATCAATCAGATAAGATGTTCTTCTCCCAAGTGACCCATCTTCTCTCCTACTTAGCAAGACATCTAGGAAATGTAGTTTATTGTCCTGCTCCTCTTCACAAGTAAAGGTAAGTGAAGGGTGGATGTTGTTGAATTTCAGCAACAATTCGTCTATCTTAACATTTACATCAGCTAAGATAAATGTATCATCGACATATCGGTAATACATATCAAACTCTTTGATGATGTCCTTCAATTTCCCGTTTTCAAGTTTAGCGAGAAAGAAGTCAGCTAACATTGGGCCCAATGGTGAACCCATAGCTATTCCGTCTACTTGTCGATAGTATGAATTATTGAAGACAGTGAACATTCATTGTGCATTTAAGAAGGAATTCTTTGAGGCTACACAAGGGGATTCCTAAGTCTAATTGCCTTTCGGCGATTTCTTGACAAATATAATCTACTGTTACCATAAGCGGTACATTAGTAAATAGTGATGATACATCCATGGATAACATGCGTTTATACTTCACATTAGTCTTGGATATTTTAGAAATAAAGTCGAAGACATCACTAATTCTATGTTGCACGATTTCTCTGTGCAAAGGATCCAAAATCTTCACTAACCACTTCGCTGTTCCGTGAAATGGAGAGTTATACATATCTAAAACAAGGCGAAGAGGAAGGCCCGGTTTGTGCACTTTCGGTAGACCGTAAAGACGTGGGGTATTGGTGCCTGTTGGTTTCATAGACTCATATGTGGCTGATGATAATACTCCTATTTGGTTCAGTTTTTTGAGGGAGTCAGTCATTAGTTTCTCTGCTCTTACATTGAGGTCTTTGGAAACACCAAGAGATTGGAATTTAGTTCGATCACTCAAAATACTTTCCGTTTTCTTAACATAATCACTTTTGTCCAGTAAAACTATACCGTCACCTTTATCCGGCTTGCTAATAATTAAGCTTTCGTTGCTTCTAAGTTATCTTAGGGCTTCTCTATTTTGTTTAGATAACAGACTATTTACTGAATGTCTATTATTCTTGTATTGTTGGCAGCTGTCAACTAGCGTCCTTTTGAACCTAGTTAGCTCATCGTCCGATGATGGGGTAAGATCCGACGTTTGGGAATACAAATTTTCAAACTGTATATCCGTGTCTAATTGGTCAAATTTAGGAGCATAATCACTAAATTTGCGACCTAGGGATAACACTTCCAATTGAAACTTATTAGGCACGACACAGGAAAAATTGTGAACATACCGGCCCGGAACTGCCGGAAATTTCCTTTCAAGCTTTTGGCTTTCGAGAGATTTGACAAGACTTTGTTTTTACTAGCCTTTATCGACTACTTCCACCTGAACAGTTGTTTGTTTAATCATGCTGTTTTTCATTATTCGTGTTATCACAGATTGCCTCACTTTTTCATCCTTATTATTCATAAGACCATTTTTATTATTATTACTATTATTATAATTATCATTACTACTATTATGACTAATTGCACAATTTATATTCACCATCGTATTATCCCATAGACAGAACACCATGATTGGTTTATATTTGAATTTTTATTTGTAAACTTATATATATTAGAGTTAAGCCTGATGAGATCTAACTGAACACAATATTGTTCGCTTAAATGTGTTGTTCAGAAGTTTGATTATAAAAGAAGAGTTGCGTAATAACATGAATAGTTTAATGAAAGAGTTGTACTCAGAGTGTACATGGAAACAAAATATACGGAATTACACAAGGGTTTTAAGTAGAAAAATAAGCATACAAACAAAAGTCAAATCAAACAAACAACTGTGTTGATTTGACTTAACTTTTCTTTGTTTGTTTGTTTGTTTGTTTGACTTAACTTTTGTTTGTATGCTTACTTTTCTACTTAAAACCCTTGTGTAATTCCGTATATTTTGTTTCCATGTACACTCTGAGTACAACTCTTTCATTTAACTATTCATGTTATTGCGTAACTCTTCTTAAACCGTCGTTTGTGACAACTCATCACTTTTGTTACTACCCTCTTATATCAACACTAAATTCACCTGAAAACTTGATTAACATCTACGGTCAAGAGAATTTGTGGGCACGTGAGAAACAATTCTTTATAGCAAAAATGTTCATTCAGACATCTATAAAACACAAAATAATCGAGCAAAGAATATTCTACTAATTTAAAATATCCTGTGTATATAAACATATATATATAATTGTAGAGCCTGGGAGAGGAATTTATCGAAAAGAATATTCTTTGCTCGATTATTTTGTGACTTATAAACAATTCTTTATCCGAATAAATAGTATTAACAATTAGGTATTTACCATATATCAGATCGCATACACAATGGTTGGCACACTCCTACATCACCTGTATTAATAAACTGGTTCAAAATGTTCACTATGCAATTCTACGAGTTGCTCACCACTTAAAATAATTCTCTATGAGTACACAAAAGACACAGTGAAATAAATTTGTCTATAAAATGGAAAGGTGAAATGGTGGAGAGAAAATCGTGAAGACAAACTGAAATAACCATCAAAATATCAATCAGATAAGATGTTCTTTATTTATCCTGCAAATGAAGAAAAACTGTAAAACTGTCATGCTTCGTTCTCATCCGTATTAGGAGAGATCCACCACCAATCTCTGAGGGAGATGAAAAACATGGATAAACTGGAATAAAGGCGGAAATCAAAACTTAGCCCATTGGGAATAAATTACAATGATATTTAGGGAAATAAAAGACAATTCAGCTAAGAAAATTTTCTTCATCAGGAGGAAATTATCTTCAGAGGTTGTAGGCTCATATTTATATGCACCGAAAAAACACACTTGCGCCACTTCAGTGTGTGTTAATAAATTCATCTGCTGGTGTGGAGGCAGTCATATTGGCCGCACGAAGCGTACACTTTCCGAACTCATCTCTGAACATTATCCAGCATGGTTAGCGAAAGCGACAATGCAAGACAGTTACTAGATCAATTCTTTAGCACTTGGTAAATCCAGCCTACACATCTCCACCACAGTCGTCTCTCAAGATTATCTACAAAGTGAGACCAAATGGTACGAAGGGCGATAGGTTTCAGCTTTTGTGTATGACCGAGGCGTTGGCAGATCGTCAATACAACCCAGAACTCTGTATACAGAAGAAGTTTATCCAGTCTTTTGTTCTACAATGGTCTTTACCTCTTCACTAGTTGTTCCTTGTAAAAGATTTAATTTTATATCAGTTACTCAAGAATGGACTACCATACATTTTTCGTAAATATAAATACGGCTGTACAACCTCTGGAAGTGATTTCATCGATTCAGAGAACATTTTCTTCGCTGAATTGTGTTTTATTTTCTCTATGACCCAATGGGTATTTTCGGTGATTTGAATTCTAAGGAGAATAAACTCCACTGAAGGGAATTTATACTAAGAATAAAGTAGCGCAGATCCCATGGATGGTTGATGGTATCAGATATGTTGCTGAGCCATCGACAAGCCTTAGGATTACAGGTGAACCAGTATTTGGGCACAATTATTTTCATGCATGTCAACAGCTTATGAGTACATCTTATACCATCAGCCCGCATGGATATAATGAGTAGTGCCAACGGTGCAATAAACATTTATCAGAGAATTTCATATCTGTAAAACAAAAATGTACAAACCAATTCATAGATAAAGATCTCCCTCAAAATATCTATAGGTATAGCTCAATCTTTCCATACAAATTAGTTTTACACGATAAATTTTTTATTTTTATTTTTTATTCCTTCACGTTCCCCAGTGGAACATAGGGCTTAAAGCTAGTGGCCTGAAGTTTCTGTAGCAGTGTTCAATTTTTACAGGATGGGGTTGCTAGCTAGCCTCATGCTCAACCTTTCCTCTTTACCAGCTTTTATTTCTGGCTTAGCGAGGTGTGTGAGTGCGTCGGTGGCCGGGGACCGTACCCCGGACCATGTGCATGGTCGGCGAGCGTCCTGACCGTTATGCCACCGACGCAATTACACGATAAATAGAAAGTGAATAATCGCCATTTTTAACTACTGTATTTTACCCTCAAAATATTTAGCCACTGAATCATGCACCTAGGCAGTCTGAAGCAGATAATCGGATGGTGCAGCTGCATCATGAAGATAAATGTAAAAATCCCATCTGTGATATGAAGACAAAGAAGTACTTGAAAGAGCTTAAAATCCTTCGAAGCCAACTAGATGAACTACAGGAAATTCTGAAGAAGAAAAATCCATCAGTCGAACAACACATTGCGTAAGTTTATTTAATATTGTTCAATCTTTTTATCCGGCAACGACACCAAAGTTATTATACAGTTTTTCCCTTGGGTTCTGAGTGGAACATAGAGGGGATTCAACAACCCATCTCCACCTTGTCTTATTCTTTATGGCACTCTTTAGCTGAGTTCACGTTTTCCCATAGTCTCTCATCTCCTCCTCCATATTACCATCCAACGTACACCTCGCTCGTCGCTTCCCATGCACGTTCCACTCGAGCGATGAAGGGCATTGCACACGACGTCATTCGACGGCCTCTTCAGCGCATGCTCAATCCATCTCCATTTTCTTCTACATGTTTGTTGAGTAATCGGTTCTTGGTTGGCTGCTTCCCATAGTTTCTTGGTGCCAATTCTCTATGACCAGCAGGCTGACCATTTGATCTTCAGTATGCAGTCAACGAAGACAGCTGTTGATAAAAGTCTACAGTAGCCGCCTGTTCGAAATGCTTTTCGTGACGCACTCACCCGGTTTCTAAACCACACAGAGGAAATGACTGACTTGATATTTGCGTTGAAAATCCGAATCTTGTTCTTCATGCTGAGGCGGAGTGCAGAAGAGTTCCATAGTGGTTTCAGAGTGTAGAAGGTGTGCGTATCTTTCCTATTCTGGCTGGCTGCCTAGCTGTCTTTGAGATGCTTCCTAGATAAGTGATGGAAATGACCTATTTCAAATTTCTTCAGTTGATGGTGATTGGTGTTCACCTGGAGTCTTGTCTTCGCTGCTTGCTTCCTCACCCAGTTTGTTGGTTTAACATTTTCAAGTTTGTGTGACACTAGACACGAATCGTCCCCGAAGTCTGGTTCTTCTGGAGTCTTCTTATCGGTGGTCCATCGTATTCCTGACCTCTCGCTACACACTCACTCTCTGACGCATAATCCAGTCCCCCACCATTCAGAATATCACCGTTGATGGTAACAGGCAGCCCTGCCTTACTCTTGTCTTCACTGCAGAGACCTCTCTGAGCTTCTTATAGTAGGTTGTCTGACACGTGCCACTGTCATGTAGCTGTGGTTGAATGAGTTTGACAAAGATTTTTCGGCGCTGCACTCCATAGTGTTGAAGTACTTACCAAATTACTTTGTGGTCAAAGCTGTCGAAGACCTTTTCGGAATCGGTGAAGTTGAAATAGACAGAGGTTTGACTGCCATTCAATGTTGTCTCCGATGTTGGGAGTGGTGCGTAGAGTTGGAACTCGGTCCACATATTATTCGCCTTTTGCTGAATCCAGGCAACTTGTTCTTGCGGGTTGCAGAGTTCTCTATCCAGTGCATCCTTTATTCTCTCCAGGATGATGCAACTTAGTATTTTACTTGACGTGGAAAAGAGCATGATCCTGTGACAGTTGTTGCAGAGGCCCAGGTTTCCCTTCTTCAGTAGTTTCACAAGTTAGTCTTTCTTCCAATAAGTAGGTATCCCCTGTGGTTTTGTCCTTCAGTTTCCAATTGTTCAACTTCAATTGTGGCCTGTCTCTAGTTATTCTGAAGGATTTCAGCTTCACCATGAAGGTTCCCTAAACTAGATGGTGGTCCGAGCCCACATCTGCTACCTTTCTCGACTTTAAATCCACCCTCTTGAGGTTGAGATTAAATCTATCTGGTTCGTGGTGTGTCCATCAGGCGAAATCCATTTTGCTTTGTGTACACTCTAGTGCTTGTACATCTTGCCATCGATCACCAAATCAGTAAAGGTGCAGAAGTCTGCGTAGAACTATTCATTGTCATGCATTTCGACGAGCGACAAACCCTCAACCCATGATGAGTTCTCTTCGTGATTTGTGTGCTCCCAGTTCATTTGACATTCATATCACCCACAAGGATTTTGATGTCGATGTTGTCCATTACTGTTTGCAGTTGTCTATAGAAATCTTGCCTCTTCTCTTGTTCTGAGTCGTTTGTAGGTGAGTAGAACCGTAACTTCCCTTCCTTCTCTTTGAGTTGAATTTCTATGTCATTATCCTGGATTCGTTTGGTTCCCACTGCCTAAGAGGTGTGGCTACTGTTGGTGACATCATGATCGCCACTCACTGCCTCAGTGAGCTGGTGGTTTTCATCTGGTTGACCGGAGTAGATTATTGACTCTCCACTTAACAACCTTCGCCTAGCTGGCAGTAATCCCAGTAGAGAGAGGTGGATTTGCATAGGGCTATCAATCTAATGCTGTGATAAACAACATCAACAATTTCAACGCTCCACATCCATTCCATCTGCTCTCGCAGATTCCCAGCACTTCTAGACTATATCTTCTCATTGCTCTGGCTACATGAGCAACCATCTCAGACAGCTTCGTACATTCTATGTACATTCGACATCCCCATTCTTACTCTTGCTTCCATCGAGAGCATAGAGAAGCATAGGCTGACTGGAGCCCTGAAGGCTTTCATCAGCCCTCTGTATCATTTTGCCTCTCCGATTCCAGAGAAGAATAGGTTTGTTTTTCGTATAGTTTGTATTTTTAACATGTTTCTCGTGCATTGAAGTCTCTGTGGTAGTGACATTGGTTTCCCGAAGTAGGATCTCTAGGCCTATGCCAAACCCTGCCTCTTTTCCGGGGCTTCGACCAGCTAAGAAACCAGCAACCAACCAACAACAGCAATAATCATTACCATTTAGACATTTTAAATCTCATCGTATGACTGCACTTCCAGTCATGTGACACCTGGGTATAATTCCCAACGGTTGTGGCGGAATGACAATCCCGACTTAGACATGAGTCTCGTTCTTGACTGAATTTGAATTAGTGTAAGGAATCAGTAATCAGTGACTTTTGTTGACACGGCTCAAAATAATTTACAGTGGATCAGAGGTGTTCATTCCGCATCACCTTAAAAATTAAATATATATTCAATTGATGCACATTGATTAATCTATGCATTAAAGCATTACCTATTTTCTAAAAATTTACAATTCGACTAAAAATACGACTGAGTATTGTCGACCGACCATACTCCAGCTGGTGACATCAAAATACTAATGGGAGACATGAACGCCAAACTGGGATCAGACAACACAGGAAGGGAACTCATCATGGGTAGAGAAGCTCTGGGAGAAATGAATGAAAACGGAGAACTCTTCGCCGACTTCTGCGCCTTCAATGAACTAGTGATTGGTGGCAGCGTATACAAAAACAAGGATATCCACAAGGCTACATGGGTGTCACCAGATGGGCGAACCAATAACCAAATCGACTTCATCTCAATCTCAAGGAAGTGGAGGCGCAGCCTGCTGGACACAAAAGCAAGAAGAGGAGCAGACATTGGCTCAGACCACTATCTCGTACAAGGCACAATCCAAATCAAATTAAAAGCTTTCAGAGAATCAGGGGCTGCAGATAGACCACAAGCCAAGTTCAACACTCAAAAACTGAAGGACCAGGACACAAAGGATATCTTCACTGCAAGTATAAAAGACAAAGCCGAGACACAAATCAACACTGGCGAAGAGGTCAGCGTCGAAAAGCACTGGAACAACTTGAAGACAGTGTGGAGTCAAACCTGCATGGAAGTTCTAGGCAGAAAGAAGAGGCAGGACAAACAATGGCTCACTACGGACACTTGGAAACTAATAGAAGAGAGAGGGATGGTGAAACAAAAGATTCTCCAGTGCACCGATGAGCAACAAAAACAGGATTTGAATGCAAGCTACAAGACACTGAACAAAAGAGTAAAGAAGAGTGCCAGAGAAGACAAAAGAAAGTACTATGAAACCATGGCAAGTGAGGCAGAACAAGCTGCAGGCAAAGGAGACCTCGCAACACTCTACCAAACTACTAGGTACCTATCGGGCAAACGTTTGACACAAATCAAGCCGGTGAAGGATGACAATGGAAAGTCACTCAACAAAGAAGTGGAGCAAAGGAAACACTGGGCTGAACACTTCAAAAGACTCCTAAATCGACCACCACCTACAACGCGCCCAACAATACCAACAACGGAGACAGAGCTACCAGTGAACAGCAACCCCCCGACGAAATCAGAAGTCCTGAAGGCAATCAAGATGCTAAAAGCTGGAAAAGCAGCAGGACCAGATGGAATCCCAGCAGAAGCATTGAAAACGGACCCAGAGACAACAGCGGACTTGATGACGCCACTACTGGAGAAGGTGTGGAAAGAAGGCAAAGTACCCGAGGATTGGAAGAAAGGATACTTATTCAAACTACCAAAGAAAGGAGACTTAAGTCAATGCAAGAACTGGCGCGGAATTATGCTCCTGTCCATCCCAAGCAAAATACTAAGCCGCATCATCCTGGAGAGAATCAAACATGCCAACCTGGATGAAAAACTTCGACCGGAACAGGCTGGATTCAGGAGAAACAAGTCATGCATTGATCAGATCGCCACATTACGGATCATCATTGAACAAAGCTTGGAGTGGCAGTCACCTCTCTATCTCAACTTCATCGACTTTGAAAAGGCCTTTGACAGCGTCGATCGAGAGGTGATTTGGAAACTACTTCGCTACTACGGGGTGCCACCGACAATAATACATCTCATCCAACAGCTATACGACAATGGTGCATGCCAAGTAATCCACAATGGGAAACTTACGGAATCCTTCGAAGTGAGGACAGGAGTAAGACAAGTTGGCTGCCTACTATCGCCAATGATTTTCCTGATTGCAGTAGATTGGATAATGCGACAAACAGAGGCGGGCAATGAGGAAACAGGCATAAAATGGACACACACAAAAAACTTGGAGGATCTGGACTTCGCCGATGATATATGTCTGATTTCCCACAAACTGGAAGATATGCAAGCGAAAAGCAACAAGTTGGCAGAAGAAGCATCCAGAGAAGATAGGACTTCAGGTGAACATAGATAAAACAGAGGTGATGAAAATTCCTGGGCAACACCACCAACAGCAACAACAACAACTGACAACAATCAGCATAAATGGGAGGAACCTGAAAGAAACAACCTCCTTTAACTACCTGGGAAGCATCGTTTCAACTACAGGCGGAACTGACGAGGATATCAAAGCAAGGATCGGAAAAGCAAGACAAGCTTTCACTACTCTCAAGTCTGTGTGGAGGTCAACAGCACTCAGCATCAAAAATAAGATCCGGATTTTCAACTCCAATGTGAAGTCAGTGCTACTATACGGATCAGAGACTTGGCCAGCGCGTCATAAAGAGCATCTCAAACAAACTACAGACCTTCATTAACAGTTGTCTTCGCTCAATACTCAAGATCAGATGGCCGGCCAGAAAAGATCAGCAACAGAGGATCTCTGGGAACGAACCAACCAGGAACCGATTGTGAAACAAATAGGCAGGAAGAAATGGAGATGGATTGGCCATACTCTGAGGAAACCATCAAGTGACATCACTAGACAAGCCCTTGAGTGGAACCCGAAAGGGAAGCGGCGAGTTGGTCGTCAGTGCAAGGGTGACTTGGAGGAGGTCATGTGAAGAGGAGATGAAAACGTGTGGGCAGACTTGGAGCCAGGTGAAGACTCTAGCAGAGAACCGAACGCAATGGAGACGCACGGCTGAAGCCCTATGTTCCTGTAGGAATTAAAGGATATAATAATAATAATAATAATAATAATAATAATAATAATAATTGTCGACCGAAAATGAAGTTTGACGAAAATATCAGTCAAAAAAGAAATAATAATAAAGAAACACACGTCATGTAAGGAAGACTTTATGAAATATAGAGGAAATCTTATTTTATGCTCAAAAATGAATATGATCTCAACATTCGAATCGTTTGCTTGGTGCTGACCGATACGCCTTCAAATTCACAAGGTTACTGATAACATACCATTGCTAATAAGTGTGAAAAAGCCAGTGTTTCGTGCTGTGTGATTCCCATCACAATCCCAAATATCTAAAGATTAATGTAGATATGATGGAGAAGATTTGTAGGTCAGGTGGATGATTTTGATGTGGTTGTCTTCTCTGAGCTGGATAGTTAATTTGGAAAGCTTTTATCGGTTAAAGCGAATTAACTTTCCAGCTCAGAGAACACAACCACATCAAAAGATGAATGTCTTTCCTCGAGGTCAATGTTTGTTCAGAAAAAGAGAGAGAGAGAGAGAGAAGGAGGGAGTATGCACTCTCACTAATGATATTATAAATTATAGACATATACTTCGAATTTGAATAAGGCATTCAGAAGACAAATGTCACCGCGAGATGAAATCGTCAATTCGAAGTTTCTTTACAACAGCTTCACAACTAACATGGTTAACAATAATAATAAAATAATACAAGGCAAGACAATTACTCAGTTATATCAAAAACAAAAGTACATACTAATGACAAATCATACATAGATCAAGTAGTGCATGGTAGATGAAGGTCAAAGTCTATTGTTTTCCTCGTCCACACATAGTTTAGGATGTATGTGATTAATCCAAATAGCTTTCATCACCTTCAATCACCCACCTTGAATTGGAGTTATGTGATGAAATTATTGTCAACCAGTCATTAATATTGATTTTGTGACCTGACATTAATGAGTGCTTTGCAATGGATGATAATGATGATGCTGGATTTCTACTCAGATTAATTGCATTGGGATTTCCTATGTGTTCAAATAACCGTAATTTTGGAACATGTTCTTTTCTAAGACATTCGAACATTCTATTGGTCCTAGCTATATAGGTGTGTGTCACCACAAACTGCAGGTGAACTTGTAGATACAGTTTGAAGTAGAGTCCATAGAATTTCCTCCTTTAATCATAGATACAGGGATCGAAAATGTTCAGTATGTGAAGGAAAGAGATGCGGCGTAGTGTGTGGGTTTGATGGCTGACCGAAGTCTTTCAGCCATCAGCTGAATCATTTGATCAGTCTTGAATGGTAGGTTAATGAAGATAGCTCTCTTTGGTACAGAAGCTATCTTTTCGAGATGTGATCTTTCTTTACTGTGACAAGTGATGAAGTTCTCTGGATAACCATTAGGTTATAAAACTGAATGTATATATCGAAGCTCATACATCAATGTGTCATTCATGCATATTTTTCGAGCCCTTGAGAACAAACATTTCACTTGGGAACGTTTATACTGGATAGGAACAAAACTGGTAAAATGAAGATATTGTCCACTCCATGCCTGTTTACAAAAAATAGGTCGCCTAATCGTTTCATCGTCTCTCCTGGTCACTGGTAATATCCAGGAAACCGAGTTTGTTATTTGATTCAAGTTGGGAAGTCACTCGGATATTTGGATGAATATGACTAAATAGGGTAATTAAGTTTTCAATAGATTTACTATTATTACCAACAATGAGTGTATCATCTACATAACGTTTATATAGGCTAAATTCTCCAAGCACACCTTGCATTTCTTTCTCCAATTTCGACATGAATATATCCGCTAACAGGGGCCCAAGAGGGCTCTCCATCGCAACACCGTCGATTTGTATGTATGCCTTTTCTTGGAAAGTGAATCTAATATTTTCCGTACATATTAGGATGATGTTAGGTCACAAAATCAACATTAATGACTGTTTCACAATTATTTCATCACATAACTCTAATTCAAGGTTACTGGAGGTGATGGAAGCCCTTTGGATTAATCACATACATTCTAAACTGTGTGTACATAGAAAAAACAATAGAATTCAATCTTCGCCTACCATGGCAAGCATGCTTGACCTATTTATAGATATGAATGGTCATTAGTATGTGCTTTTGTTCTTCATATAACTGAGTCATGAACTTTATTTTATTATTATTGTTAACCATGTTAGATGTTGTAAAGCGGTTGGTTGTAAAGAAACTACGAAATGAAGATATCATCTCGCGAAATTTGTCTTCTAGATGCCTTTTTCAAATTTATCAAAGGGACTAATTGTTTTAATATACTTAGAAGTAAAAGCGTTCATACTCCACTCCCCCGTCCTCTTTTCTTTTTTCTTTTTTTAATTTGATGATAACAGCACAGGAGAGATTGATGCTCAAAATAAGACAACATTCGAATATCTATACAAGAAGAAAAGAACAGACATTGTGAGTAATAATGAACCTACCGATTTAGATGAGCATGAAAGGAATACAAATAATAAACTTAGATTGAAAATTGAACCTACTGAAAAATCATTGACGATGATGAATAATACAAAAGCAGCATCAGTAGGCAAGGAAAAACAAATGATGATGGCGACAGCAACAACAACAACGACAGCAACAACAGCGACGAAAACGCCACTGAGTCAGTCAACTAAAGGTACACGTCAAAAAGTGACGATAATACCAATCGCCAACCAAATTAATGAACCTCAACAGGCAAGAACTTGTGATGAATTATTATTAACAAATGGAATGGAGACGAAATATGTTATCCTGCCTAAATTAGAATCATCACCGAACAGAAGAAGACGATTCATCAGATCACAATCAATAGATCCGAATTCATTAGTGACAACATGTCAAACAGACTACAAGTTTATTATCCCTAATAGTTCAATGCCTACAGCACAAACAATTTCACAAAATGTTAATCACAATGAAACTCATATGATTACACCTGTACAACAAAATGATGTCAGTATAAATCTCACAAGTCGAACTGTTGAATCTTCGCCTAACAATGAATTAAAACCTTGTTCATCTCTAATAAGCATAAAAAGTAGAGAAACAGACTTAGAACGCCAAAATCGAGGAGAGATTATGAAGTGTTTAGTTGAAAAAGAATCAGTTTTATGAAAATAAATCCTACTAGTGAATATTGTTCTGTTTTTGATTGATAAAGTTAATCGTTGCAGGCTGGGTCAAGATATATATATATACATACTTTTTTTTGATTGCACACTAGTCAGTAACTAGTGTAATGTGTCTAGTCGCATCTTCGCTGCAGACTGAATTCTATCAGTCAGAATCATATCATCAACAATGATGATAACGTCAAATACTGAGCACAGTAGTTGTCTGTAGTTTGCAAATTAATAACTCCTTTGCATTCCGAGTGGAACAACAATAAGGCTTCAGGCTTTGAAGTGCCATCCGGTAGAGGTGGCGTTGTTCCTCTATGGGGTAGATTCGCTACCCTTACCTCCCAGTGTGTTTGAGCCTGCCAGCAGCTGATACGCCATGTTTAGGAGTGCGTCGATCGGGCTGAGAATCCAACCCGTATCTCCTGAGTCGCTGGCAAGTATTCTACCAGTGAACCACCGAAGCACCACAAGTGGAGTTCAGGACGCACGGTGTATAAGGGGAATTACAGAATTCAGTGAATACAAACCTCCACCGGAAGACTTTAGTCGAAACAATTTCACTTTCAGCTAGGGAAACAATCTAATAATATTTCAATTTCATTCTGAATTCTATCAGTGATATGATAAAACCTGTGGAAAGAAGTTGAAACATAGGACTAACTCGTCTAAAACAGTGTCCTAACGATCACAAGATGTAACAAGTGTTGGCTAATATAAGAATAAAACTTGTGCTCTGTGGTAGAGTGTAATTCCATTATGGGTAAATTTTGTTTTGATAAAGTCTCACAGTGTGTTATACAGTAATGTTTACTGATGACCACGTTTCGAGCACAATTTATTACTGCTCATAATCATATCAAGGTAATCACACAACTTCCTAAATTCATTTATATAGTTCCATTGTTTTTCACTTGATTTGATTCGTAGTAATATTTTCCATATTTCGGGTATGAGTGATGAATCATTCCTATTGCATGTGTTGGGTGTAGATTCGATGAACCAGGCAGGATTCAGTAATCAACCTCTCTCTATCTCCACCTACGTAGATTACTTTTTAGAATTTCAACCCTCTCCCACCCTATTGTGTGGTTGTGTGTTAATGCATGCATTGCAGTTGCCGAGCTTTTTTCTAAATTACTCATCTTCTCTGGGTCAATCATTCTTATCTTAGCTAAATTCTTATGTTCTGACAATCTGACTACCCCTGACCTACTAGTTTGACCTATGTAGTTGACCTCACTCACAGTCATTGCAGGGTATTTTGTAAATTATATTATTTTGTCTAATTGGGTCAACCAACAGGGTTCTTTAACCTACAGAGCTTGTCCCTGAGTGAATTTGTAGGTTTAAATGCCAACACCCTAATTCCTGCTTTATTTAGAACCCTACGTAGGGTCTCAGATGTCCCCTCTTTATATGGTATAACTGTAGATGACTTATATTCTCTCTTATTTATGTTGTTATTACTAGTTTCACAATTCTTTTTCTTTTTCTTTTGGCCTTTTTCAATCTTCCTAATAAATTTTAAAGGATAGTTATTTAACACCAACGCTTCTTCTATCTGTTTTATTTCATTATTTAGTTCTTTTTTGTGCTACTTAGTGCCATTGCTCGGTTTGTTAAACACTTAACTAAGCCTGCCTTAACAGTTAAAGGATGAGATGAATTAAAGTCGAAATATCTATTAGAATGCGTTGGTTTTCTATAAACACTAGTGTGTAGTTTGCCTTCTTCTATTCGTTTTATTTTACAATCTAACATAGCTAATTCTCCTTGCTCATTTTCGGTTTCAAATGTGAATTTTATTCCCTCCACTAGTGTGTTTATGTGTGTCAAGAAGCTAGAGATATGTTCTGATTTTAACACTGTGAAAGTGTCATCCACATATCTCCACCATATTTTTGGAGTAGGATTAAACGTATTAAGAACCATATTTTCCCAGCTATCCATAAATATGTCTGCTACGATAGGGGATATTGGTGATCCATCCCATTGCTACACCTTCTGTTTGTCTATATATTTTGCCTTGGAATCTAAAGATAGTAGATGTGAGGCACAACTGAATTCCTAAAATAATTTCATCAATGGGTAGTTTCGTCCTATAAGTGAGTTCAGGGTGTGCAGTTAATTCCTTTTTAACTGCTTCTAAGGCCATATTGATTGGTATGTTAGTATAAAGACTGGTTACATCAAAACTAACCATTGTTTCATCATTCTCTGGCTGAATGTCATTTAGTTTATTTTTCATCTCATATGAATTAGCTAATTAGTCTAGAGTTTGAACTATTTCTAATGGGGCATAATATTAGAGCTAAGTGTTTTGATAATTCATAAGTAGGAGTATTCCTGAAATCTACTATTGGTCGTATGGGGTACCCTGGTTTATGTATTCTAATAGTACCATACATTCTACTAGCATTATTAGTTTTAGGCATTAAATATGATACGATTATGAGTAATAATAAATTGTGCTCAAAACATGGTCATCAGTAAACATTACTGTATAACACTGTGAGACTTTATCACCCATAATGGAAGTGTTCGCTAGATTCACGTTGGCCGCAAATACATAACTAATTCGTCATATGTTTATTCTTCAATTACTAATCAATCCAGAAAAGTAAATTCACCACAAAATGAGTCATAAAATAATCCAAAAACAACATAAGAACCATAGGACATAATATTTAAAAAATAAAATAAACAGGCAAGCATTTCTGTTATGGCGCACTACTTGAACCAAGGGATGTAAACGAGTTTAGGATTGAATGTATCGCATCCCTGTACGAAACCTGCCTAGTTAGTGTGTTCCTCCAGAGCTCTATCAAATAGTCGTTTGACCATGGTTTCATGTAACAGGCGATAAGTCATACTCACCATGTGAGAAGGCTAATGAAACTCCCCTGTTGCCTAGGCTGAATAAGGTGGAGTGGGACTCAAAAGTGTGAAGCATTGGCTGAAACCGAGTGATTCAACCGATAAGCCACATCTCCACTTCGTATGACTGCATAAGTTAGGATCTTAGATACTATAATAGTAAAACTGTGGTGGTGTGATGCAGAAAATATATCCAACGGAATGTTACTTTTTTCGATAAAGAAAGGAAGACGAAATTTGCAGTAAAAAGTGATGTCATCATTCTATTTCACAGGTTCTCATCAGTTGAAGAGTACCTGAAATAACAATGGTTATATAGATGATAATAACATACTTTAAAGTTTGAGTGGTAGTAGAGAAGAGATACTATAAAACCGACGCATCCAAAAAAGAATGAAAGCATTACAGTTTTTAGTTTACGTTTTCATCATCAATTTATACACTTTCAAAGTTGAAAAGAGGGGGTAGGGGTAAGACAGAAAACAGAAAAAATTAATTAACAGAACAGCGTTGGCTTGTAGGTTCACATAGCAACTCAAAAAACAAAAGCCGTTACAGTTTATGAGATTAAGATTTGTCCAGCGAGTTGAGATCACTGAATTAGATGACTAATTAATCTAATCAAAATCAAAATACAGTTACCAAGAGAGCATAAGTCTGGTTAAAATCGTTTGATTGCTGTCGCTTCGGCAAATCGTAATAAATTTGCTGTCCTTCGTCTATTTAATAATTTGAAGGACTTAGAAATCTCTATGAGATGTCCGGTATCAACAATGTCTGGTAATTGCACTCTGAGAATATTTGCTTTCTTTGAGACTCAGGTTTCTTGGAATATTTTCAGAAAATCGGATAGAAACCCTTCTTTCCGTACATTGGATATAGATATAGATAATAACATTTTATAATTCAGTGTTAAGCTCGCCTAATTAACTAGCTTTCTAGTTTTCTAGCCGATCTCGAACCCAGGTAAAGAGGGAGGGTTGGGCGCAGGGCTACACCACTAGTCCTATCAAACTGCTAGAGAAACTTCAACGCATAAAAAATATACGAGGAATACAAAAAATTCAAACAACAGTCTTATTCTTCGCTGGAATCGGAGAGGCGAAATGGCACAGACGTCTGGTGAAAGACTTCGGGAAACCAGTCAGCTAGCCGACGTGTCTGCTCTCTTTCGATGAAAACAATAATAAGAATGGAGACGTGGAATGTCCGTACAACGTACGAAGCCGACTTGGAAGACTACTTAGGTAGCCAAAGAAATGAGAAGATATGGCAAAGAAGTGTTGGGGAGATGCGAGAGCAGATGGAATGGATGTGGATTAGCAAAATTATCAACTGGAGAGTCAGTAATCTACTCCTCTCTGTTCTGGTCACCCAGACGACAACCACAAGCACACCGAGGCAGTCAGTGGCTATCATGATGTCGCCAGTGGTAGCCAAAGTCCTAATGCAGTGGGAACCAATCTCCTCATGCAGGATCATAACAGCAAGATTCAACTCAAAGGGAAAGAAGGAAGGTCACAGTTATCCAATACTACGCACAGTGCTACAAACAACACGGAACAAGAGAAGAAGGAAGATTTTTACAGATAACTACAAACAGTAATGGACAACATCCGAAATGGTGATATCAAAATCCTCATGGGTGATATGAATGCAAGCCAAACTGGGAGCAGATAATACAGGAAGAGAACTGACCATGAGTCGAGAGGCTCTCACTCGGCGAAATGAGTGAGGACGGAGAATTATTCACAGAATTCTGTGCTTCCGATGGCTTGGTGATCGGAGGCAGCATTTACAAACACAAAGATATACACAAGGCTAGTGACATGGATTCCGCTTGATAGACACACCACAAACCAGATAGACTTGATGCTGATGCTGCTCAAGGAAGTATGGGCGCAGCCAGCCTGTTGGACGCAAAGTCGAGAGGAGGAGCAGATGTGGTCTCACACCGTCATCCAGTTCAAGGAACCTCCAAGGTGAAACTGAAATCCATGAAAACAAATGGAGATAGGCCACTGTAATTCCAGTTCAACATTCAGAAACTGAAGGACAAAACTACAACGGAAACCTGCCTTCACTACAGATGGGATCAGAACAAAGTCGGAGACA